TTTCAAATAAAAAAATAGAAATTCTCTAATACCTGCTGAGGACAGTGTTGAAAGAATCTTGTCATCAGGAGGTGTACACATTTTAGTAATAGAACTTCTACAGGCTTTAAAGACTTGTAATTTATTGACCACTATTGCCTTTCGAAAATCCTAGAAGTGGTCTTAGCATCCAAGGTTGTTGGATTTTCCATAAAATGATAGTAAGGCTTGCATGGTTGCACTTAGTAAAATAGTTGCATATAAACGTTTATGTGTATATGTTTAGGAAAATGCCATTACTAATAAGAGACCTAGCTGGAAGGTTATGCATTTAGGGTTAATAATAATTAATAATTGACTATGAAGAAACATGTATGGGGTGATTTTTTTCATTTATTCAATTAGGGACAAACCAGTTTGCATAATTAATTAGTTTTCAGCTTTTCCACAGGTATCTCAAGTACTAATCATTGCATTTCAATGAAACTTGGTACATAGATAATTTAAGACTATGCAGAGACCTGATTAGTTTTAGGGTAAATAATTGTGCATATTAATTACCTAATTTACATAATTAATTTTCAGCTTTTCTACTGATATCTAAAGTACTAATCATCACATTTCAATGAATCTAGAATTATGCAGAGATCCAATTAGTTTTCAGGAAATGTGTGTGCATATTAATCACCTAATTTGCATAATTAATTTTCAACTTTCACACTGATATCTCAGGTACTAATCATCACATATCAATGAATGTTTGTACATGGATGCTGTAGGACAATAGACAGACCTGGATAATTGTGGGTTAAAATATGTACATATTAATTACCTAATTTGCATAATTAACCAATTTTAAGTACTAATTATTCCATTTCAATGAAACTTAGTACAAAGATGCTCTAGGACAATGTACAAACCTGATTAGTTTGGGATTAAAATCTGTTCATATTAATTCCCTAATTAGCATAACAATTCATAATTTTTTGGTTCTAATCACATTTCAATTAAACTTGGTACATAGATTTTCTGTTACATTGCGCAGACCTCATTAGTTTTACACTCAAATCTGTTCATATTAATTTTCTGATTTGCATAATTAGTTTTCAGCTAAGTAATTTCGAATTATATTTAATGTGTCTCCAATACTCTCAGCACATGGGAGTTCTTTCTAAGCTTTCTTTGATTTAAGTTATCATGAACATTTGAATTTCAAATTCATTTCAAGGTAAGGTACACATGCATTCACAAGGTGAAACCATTACAATACACTCGATTAAAAAAAAGAATACACAGAAATACTGTATATGTACACTAACTGCTAATAGACACACTTGCTACAAGTTTTATTACTTTCACTAAAATTTTACTACTTTCCAGGCATCTATTCCACCATTCTAGGCATATTTTTCTGCTGTCTAAATACATGAAACTTGACTACTTTCACAGCAATATGCAAAATTTTCAAGGAACTTTTTTTAAAGATAGGGAAATGTTACGTCTTCCCAAGCAACTTTGTACAACTTGCAGGGCAGTTTTGAGTAATCTATGGGCAACTTTTATAATTTTCTTGGCAATTTGTATGACTTTCCGAGGACCATTTACTACCTTTTTGATGCAATAAATGATAACCAAGAAAATGCTTGATTTAAAAAACAGACATAAGAAAGTATGTTATTCAAGACAAAACACACACATATGCATCTCTCTGGAACATGCTTTCTGGGGAATTTAGTGAGATACTCGGCACATGATGCTGGATATCTGAAAGCAGTTACATACCATTATCACCTTTTATAAAACTTAAAAATTCAAATACCTAAAGAATAAGGTGGCACAGTCACAAGTTGATCTTTTGTGTGAAGCACTGAAACTCTGTCATTGGTTGATTATTGCAATGACAGAGAGACGTTTGGAACAAGTAACTCTTAATCATCTTGATCACACAAGGTTGTTCAGGTCATATTGACAATACTCTTTATTTGACTAGGCTTAGGAGATCAGGTGGATTGCAATACATCACCTTATTCAAAAATAATTAAGATTTATAAACTTAAGTAACCTATTAAAAAGTTGAGCTTATGACAAACAACTCGAAACATCAATATATATAAGAAATAATCTGTATTTTATTGCAAACTATAAAACATACAGCATCTCATAGCAATCAATCATCTGTAATGACCTAGTTAGACTACCCCC